AAAAAAAAAAAAAAACACTCTTTTTAATGGCTACAGAGGCTTCATGTTGTTACTTGGAGTCTTTATTTGGATTTTTTAGTAATTTCCTAGAATGAATGCTGAAACTATTCAATATAGGAAACTTTTCTATTGTGATTTTTCGGTGGTTTTCTGATCCATCAATATTACATCTTGAAAATCTTATGCTTGAATCCATTGTTCTAATTTCTTGTCCCTAGCTTCAATATTTGTGTAGTTAAAATTCTACTTCCTTGCTGCTGCTATTTTCTGAGCCGAAAATATTAAATTGAATATTTTTTTCTTAGTTATTGCTCCTTTGACATTTCTTAGATGTGTTGATTCTCTTATGTTGGCTCGAGATTTTGAGTAATGGATGAATATGAAATCTTAAGGACTTTATTGGTGAGAAACTGGCCAACCATAAATAATATGATAGATATATTGAAAAATGAAAACAAATAACAATTTAGAGAGAGATCAGGAATATTGGAAAACTAATGGCAAACAAAAATCTAATCAACCAATTGACTGAATGATAATAAAAACACCTAACATTATGATTTGCAAGTACAACATTGTTTAGATTATCCCATTAAAACTCTAGGTAGAATTATAAGTTATATACATATATCTATATATGTGAAAAAGTAAAGAGAAATAAGACACTATAATACATGATAGTTTAGCTGTGAGTGTAATTGAGTTTGCCTAAGCTGCAGCTAGCGCTAGTTACTAGTTTTTATGTGAAAACTACTCACACACTAAATGTTCATTACTTAATTGAGCTGGTGAGTGAAATTGAGTTTATTACTTCTTAATTTGATCGGTATTTATCAAGCTAACAGCAGCACTTTGAAACTGTGTTGATTAGTTTATCCCTGTACATTCGTTGGATTGAGAGAGTGAAGATACTTGATAGGTAGTAAACTAATATGAGAAATTTGGACACTTGCAGTGTTTTCTGATAACTATTAGTTATACATAAGTAAATTGGAGACTGAAGAGAATCTCAAAATCGAGTAAAAAATGTACTATTGATTCTATGAAGTCTAATTTAAATTTGACTTCTTATTCACTCTATTTATGTTTAATTTGATAATATATTTTCTTCAGGTCGGTATTTATGGTTATACAGCTTATTCAGCTAGCAAGTTTGGCCTTAGGGGTATGGCAGAAGCTTTGCAACAGGAGATAATAGCAGACAACATTCATGTCTCCCTCATCTTCCCTCCAGATACCGAAACTCCTGGATTTGTGGAAGGTCTAAAATCCAACTTATTATCCTACCTTACACTTTTGAATTGCAAAAATTGTCCCCCAACATCATGCTTGTATTTATTATTCATCTGTTGATTGGATTCTAGTTGCATTATTTCATGATGTACTTTAATAAAAGTACGCTATGTGAAAACATCATTTGATGACTCGTGTACTACGTGACATATTTCTAAATAGGATTTGGTTCCTACCAACTTCTGTACTAGCATGCCAGGTGCTAATCTAGAACTGGCCATATTCAAGAATGTCAAGATGAACTGGATTTTTTCTGTTTTGTTGTAACATTGAAAGACATTACAACATCTCTTGTTTCTTAAGTGAAAATGACACAATCATGTTGACATGACATATTATAATGATGGACAACACTGTGTATTTATGTGTTCATATATGTGCATACATATTAGTGTTGCAGGATATGAAGCAAGCTTCAGCTCTCTCTCTCTCTGTGGATGACATATTTTTGAAGAAACTCAGGTTTCTCTCTGGTATATGACATATTTTTGAAGAAACTCAGGTTTCTCTCTGTGGTATTCTTTTTTAAGAAAAAATGGGGAAATAAGAACAGTGCTTCTTTCAGCACAATTGATGTGTTGGAAGTATCTGCACAAGGAAGTTGTGAATAATGCTAACTAGATAAATTCCATTTTTTTTCCCTTCGTGTGACTTGTGAAAACTTAAATGAAATACCTCTCAAACAGTCGTGACAATTAAATATGGTTCTCTGTTGCTTGTACTCGGTTGTGGTTGTCCAATATGGGTGCATATTTGTTTAAAAAAATCTCGTTAGACATGGCTACATGGATACGTCTTACGAACTTAAAATTATTTTAGAAATTTATATACTGATAGACAAATTAAATTGCAAATTGTAATACTTAATTTGGATTTCATTTCAGGTCTAGAGATGTGAAATACTAATTAAAAATCATTTTAATTCCCACACCAAAATAACAAAATTTTATAAAGGATATGCTATTCTGATATAAAAGATCAAAGATGGATCCCATACTTTTATCGTTGTCGTGTTGACACAGGTACTTCCTCCAAAATGAAGAATTTGAGCAACATAGGTTTATAGCTCGTTTTGTGTCGGCTTATACATTTATTATGGCAGGCATTATACATCTTTAAATGAAGCTACCTTCTTATGTATGCTTCTAGGAAACACCCTTTCGCTGTTGAGCCCGAAATTTCTTTTATAATGGAAAGAGGAACTAAGAAGCGTGCTTCTTTAGCACAACAAGATAGGTGGGAAATATTTTTAACCCCTGGATGAAAATTCTGTTGAAACTTTTTCTATCAAAATTAATGAAGACTCTAATCAAATACCTTCCACACTTTGACATCTGAACATGGATTAGTTTGGTGGTTGTAAAACTTCTCAAGCAAATTGAGGCCTTGATAATATAGCATTGCCAGCTATTACTATTACTGACATGCACTAGAGGTCTTTAAAGTGAAGTTACCTTCTTTCTGCATGCTTCTAGAACACGCACTTTTCTATTGGTGCATGACAGTGATATCCTAAAGTTTACAATATCTCCAGTTCCAACGTATCTGGAGTTTTGTCCTAATTTATTCGATGTTCATAATTCTCCCACCACAATGCCTAACAAAATTTTTCTACTTATTGCAGAGAACAAAAGAAGGCCTCAGCTCACCAGTATTATAGCTGCTTCCTCTGGTGCAATGAAAGCTGATGCAGTTGCCAAAAAATCTATTGATGGAATCAAATCAGGCACTTTTATTGTTCCATGCAACTTCGAGGGATTCTTACTCTCTGTAGCAACTGCAGGACTATGCCCTCAAAGATCATTCTTAATGGCATTTGTGGAGGTGGTTACTTCCCCAATATTACGTATTGCTGGTTTATGTTTCCAGTGGAATTGGTATGGAAGCATCGAGAAGTGGTATGCACAGAAGAAATAGTAGGTAAACTATATAATAGTGCTGGTTTTGTTCTTGTTGATCATTCATTATGCGGAAATTGAAGTGCATCCCGACAGAGATTGATATATTTCATGAATATTATGATGCAGGGATCCAGGAGTTGTTATACTTGTTTGGATATGATGTTGGTTCTAGTACTCTTATCTGGTAAAGTTGTTACAGTACCTCTAATCGTATCTGAGGAAACACAACCTGAGTATTTCCCACTTTGGAGATAAAACTCCTCTTGAATCCTTATAACCATTTTGTCCCAAATAAAACATCTGGGGAACTTGTAGTCTCTCATGTGTTGATTTTCTCGAGCTACATGCAATGGTTTGCTGTTAGATTATAATCTTGTTTGCAATGTTGCCTGCACGCTACAAAGAGAATAGGTAATAGTAGTGTACTTTCATAGTTTACATTTTATTCTCAACTCTAGCAAGATATCTCACCATCACAGGAAAATGCGATCTTTTAGGCAACCCTGCTTATTATTTCCGAAATCCTCCTTGAGGATAATAATAATAATACTCTACGGACGAACTTGTTTGATGTAGATTTTCTTTATGGATTTTGTAAAAAAGCTATTTTTCGTTGGGTGCGTGCTTTGAAAGTAAGGAAAAGTTGTATATCATATGTAAAATTATTTTATTGGAAGAATATATAATTGAAAATGAGTTTGAAAAAATGATTTTAAAGAAGTGGAAATTATAGCCTACCAGAATTTTAAACTTCCAATTTCAAATTAAGATTTGCAAGTTTTCTTTTTTTCAAAGAGATAATCAAAATTTTAAATATTAATAATTATATTACATTATTGTTATAAAATTAAATTAATTTATGTACTCCCACCCACCTTGATTTCAAAACCCTAATCTTGTTCATTCCTTTTTTGTCTTCTCTCTTTACTCTCTCTAACCTCCTCTCTCTACCTTCTCTCTATTTGTGGCATTCTCTTTCCCTCTCCCTATTTTCACGCTACTGTTAGCAGTAGTGTCACGTTGCTGTGGGCGCTACTGAAGTAACGTTACGTCGCTGTTCACGGTGGTGGTGGGTCATTCGCCCGGCCTCAAGACACTGTGGTGTTGGCGACGGTGCAATTGTGAGAAGTTTAAGGCTATGGTTGTGGTGGCTGGTTGGTGTTGGTGGTTGCGTCGATGGCGACGGAGACAGAGTGGTTCCAGGCGGTGCCCCTAAGAGAAATTAGGTTTGGTTATTGTTTTTGTGTTGGTGGCGATGGTGTCATGGTTGTGGTGGTTGGTTGGTGTTGGTGGCGACGGCAACAGCAACATCAAGGAGTGGTTTTGTTGGTGGTGGTGGTGGTGGATCTGACAGTTTGGGTGATTTTTGTTGGATTAGCGACGATTTTGGCACTAACAACGGTGGTTTTGTAGTTGAAAATGGTGGTTTATTGGTAGTTGTGGTGAGGTGGTGGTTTTGAAATTGAAAGTGGTAGTTTGTTGGTGGTAGAGACGGCGACGCTAGCTATGGTGGTGAGGTTGCATTGCTTTTGGTTGGTGCCATGGTGGATTGGATTGGGTGGCATGTGTGGTAGGATTAATAGTGTGTGTGGCCAATAAATAATATGCCACTGATAACTTATGACAATATATAATATACGACCCTAAATTTGAGTTGTGGTTTATAAAATTTGTGATTGACAAATAATTGTGATCAATAAATTTATTGATTTTTTATTGATGCATAAATTGTGTCTTGTAAAATTTTTAATTTATAATAGTGAAATAATTTGTGACCTATAAAATTTTTGATTTGTGATCGAAAAATAAATTTTGATCGATTAATTCAACAAATTGTGATCAAATTGTATAGAATTGTGAATTTAATATATTTAGTTAATAAAATGTATTTTTAATTAATTATTTCATTAATAAAATTTAATTAATATCCGATTTTTGAAATTTTAAACATTGTTTCTTAGTTTTGAAATAGGTCACACTTAGGGCTTGTTTGAACCCTATTCTTCTAAAAAAAAATGCAATTACAATATTATTATGATGGAGAATGTGATTAAAAAATAAGAAAAAAATTTGAGTTTGCGAGTAATATTATTTTATTGAATAATGTGTGATTAAAATGATGTCAAATTAGTGTTCAACAATTCATTTTGATAAAAAAAAAAAAAATGAAACTCAAACAAGAGTTTAATCTCTTAGATATAAAATTTTCCCTTTAAAGAATCTTTACCCAAAATGGGACAAGTCAAGTCAAAATTGATACAATCAAATCTCCATAAAATAATAATGTTACGATAAAAAAAAAATATTTTAGAGGGATTATTAATTTATGGAGTATCTTATATTTTTATAACTGGTATTGTATTTTACCATAATTCGTGTAAGAAATTAAAAAAATATATATATTGAATATGGTGGAATTCAAATTTTAATATGAAATAATACAATTAAGGCACAAACATACGTACGCAAAAAGAGAAAACATTAATGTACATGCATTGACTTTAAAGTTTAATATCTTGGAAGATTATTAATAGTCGTACAAATTATTTCATATACACATGAAACAAAAATTTTACATTTAATATTTATTAATATGAACCTTTATGAAATTAGCTGTTATTATATTATATATTTGTTGGGATTTTAAGGATTTCAAAGAAAATTATTATCTTATGCTTTTAACAAAATTATTAATTTAGTACACTTGCCCAAAAGTCGGGACCAAAAATTTGATTATTAATTTTTACTATATCGTCAATTATTATTGGACGAAAGACAAAAAAAAAATCAGAAAATTAAAGTCGTGTTTGTTCAAACTTCAAATCGTCCAAGTGGAAGAATGAATCTCTCTCTCTCTCTCAACTTTCACAATTGTTTGGGAGATTTATGTATTTGGCCTGGTCAATTATGCTTTTTAAGTTATCTATCAAAAAGTATATGCTACCCTTAATGAAATGAATTCTTATATATTGCAAAATATATCATCACTTTTTAGAATAGTTTTAAAACTAGTTTTATCTTGTATTTCTTCTATTTTGAATCTCAATATATAAATTCATTATATGATCTAATAAGTTAAAAAAGTCTGTAACATGTTGTTCATATTGTTCTTTGAGTCTATTATATTCTTCAGATAATATATTTATATTTTCTAGTTGAAAAGTAATATTTTTTATTTTTTCTAACAATATTTCTAATAAATTATCTAATCTTTTAATTGTATATCCTGACATCCTATATATCAAATTATAAATATTAATGCAAACATTATGACAAATAATCCATGCGATTTTCTAAGATCTTAGGAGAATTCTTTCTAAATTTAGCAAAAAATAGTAGTTTTACCTTAGTTTTATCTGGATCTTTATTCTTAGAATCGAGTGACTTTATAGCTCTGAATATGCAAACCACTCCTTTCAATGGGCTCTTGCCTTCACAGGATCTTTCCAGCTTCTTGCTCTCACCGTATCTTTTCTAAAGAATGAATCTCTAAACTTCGATTAAAGAAAAACTGTCTTTATAGGTAAAGTAAGAAAGAAATTTCCTATTAGATCTTTTAAGAATTTATGAGAATAAAAATTTAGAAACTCATATCTTTTAGAAAGGATTGGAATATTGATCTATTCAAAATTGATACAAGATTGGAAAACGGAACAGTTCGATTATCTCACAGATTGAGTGCTCCATTCATACTGCTTTTATTTAACCCGAAGGCCTCTATTTATACATGAGATACAATTGTTTAAAACTACTATTACTTACATCAATAATTTCCACTTTTTCATCAAATGCACACCTGCTCCTCTATTATTGTCTTATTGGTCCTACATTATATGATCTTCACATGCAGCTGAGGCAATTTCTTAGCTGGCAAGATTCCTTGATAGTGGTATGACATCCTGGAAATTGATGTATATCGAATCTTGTAATATATTCCTTCAAAAATTCAGATTTTCCATATCCTCCATTTGTAACTAGCATCCAATTATTATACTGGCACAAACATGAGAATTTTTTATCATATAAATTTTTGACAATATTATATATGGCCTTGATTCCAAGTGCTCTTCTATACTTGATCCATGACTTGGTCACTTTTGGAGCTTTTTTATCATTTTCCATGACATCTATTTGGAAATTAGATGCTACATATCCAATTGATATTATGTGTTCAACTGGATAATAGACAACTCCATCATATTCAGGACTTATTGAGTAGAATTTTAAATATATTCTTCGTCCTTTGGCAAATTTTGATACTTCTTTTATAAACATGTCATCAAATTTTGATATTTCCATAAAACTTTTTCCTGGATATATCAAATCCAAGAATTCATAATCTGCAATGATTTTTATGAATGAATGGTCTCCTCCTTCCATGGTTGTAACTCTCGGGTAAACATTATTTCCCGGAGAGATAAAGTATAAGTCGCTGATTTTTATTTCATAAACAATTTGGACTATTTTGGCATACTCTTTTTCTTTTGAGTCTAAAGGGGTCATATCATCATGTTCCATGATATTGATAGTTTTTGAATCACTTCTATTTGGATATGCACGTATCATTACTTTTTTGGTTGATGTTACTGGAAATACATCTCATTTTGTATCAATTGGTATGTTGTCACGTCTGGGTCCACTGTTGCTTCTAGCTGTCCCTGTTTTGTATTGATTTGGAAAACTCATTTCTGAGATTTTTGGTAAATTTGTTTCAAACAGTATATTTTTTAATTGTGATGCAATAGCATCAACTTGATTTTTGAGATCTATAGTTTCTTTATGTTGTTCAGTAGTAATGTCCAACAATACTTTTATATTTGAGTTGAACATTTCTGAAATCTGTGTTGCACAAGTGTCTATGTCTTCTGCTTCCTCTTTGAGTAAGTCTAT